AAAAGTAGAAATCAATTTGAGTAGTAATGTATATAAAAGATTATAGCTTTAGAATAGTTCGACCAATGTTCTTGATATCTTGCTGTGTTCATAGTAGTAGGTATGTTTAAGAAAATAATAATTACTTATATTCGTTTTTAACGAATTAGACGTAAGCTGTTTGGTGGGGTTGTTAAGAATTACATATCATATGAATATCACAAATTAACACAACAGTTCCAGAACAAATTCTAACAGATTTCAAACCAAAGTTTTCGTAACAAACTTCACAGACTCAAAGAGAAAACCGTGTCTGCAATAAGAAGTAACGAAGCAATACAATGATGTACCTCAATCAAGGACTTATCTCCATACACAGGGCTAGGGGATAAGTGGCATGTTTCCGGAATACGTACGCTTCCACGTAGCAACCGACAACCAGTAGCTGATTACAGACTTTTTGCACACTACATTGCCTCGCAGACAAACGATACAGCAGAAACATCTCACCAACAAACGGCCTTATAGAACGAACATTGCCTTTCGTTTGTTTTTGTTGTGTTTCTTAATACTTTCGTCAAGCAAAGAGGGGCGTTTTCGAGACATTTACCCACTCCACACATGAGGCAATGAATAAATTTCCAAGTTGCATGTATATAAAGCATGGTGTTGTGTAGCGGTGGGCTGTAGTAAGCTAAAATGGGACTAATGCAGAGAAGCGACACGTAGGAGTCCATAAATAAGTGTATAATTAATATATTACTAGTAAAAATTCCACGCGGACCAGGCAGCAGACGGGACACGAACCCGCACCCATTGCTATCCGGGTGAATGCACTGACCGTTATGCTACCGACGCCCTGCCAGTTGTGTCGAATTCTTTCTTGCCTTTTTAAGCTGCAAGGCAGCGCCATCTCTTCGCTTTGTAGGTAACCCACACGTCGAACAGTAGCATGCTCAAAAAAATGCATATTATATATAATATATATGTTTTTATTTCGCGTTCACAATTAAAAAGTTGGTAAGCAGTAATATGGGACAAGACAATAAGAACAATAGTCAACAAAGAATAGTGTCAACGGGTGACGTAGAAATGTATAAAGGATTTGAAAAATACAAAATAATATCAAAAGAGTTTAGTAGCCACAGCGAGTCGCCAACACATGGAATAGGTATGGTCCCTCTGAGCTGACTGGTCGAGCCTTTTACTAACTAATAATGTCGGGGAACATCCTTTGCATATTGTTTGCTGCTGGAAATAACGTACACGACAAATTACCTCGTATATTTATATGCTAATGTGAAAATTTACAGACTCAGTAAGAATTTGCTAACATCAGCACAAAACGCTTGTTACCCAAAAATAGTTTTAGCTTCGTTAATACTATAGCACGTTGTTAGTATTTCTAAAAATGTCTTTGTGAAATTAGAAAGTCCATGTTATTGTTAAGTCCGCGACCGAGTAACTGCTAATTTAACTGAATCGTTAAAGTTATATGAAGTTGGTGCAATTCACGCTATATTCCTTTTGATAGTAAGCTGTTACTGCAAAGCTTGAAGATATCTTACATTATCTATGGCTTGAAGACATTTGCGATAGACAAGTATTACTCGCGTGTTACTACTCTAAACGCAGCTGTACTCTGTAGAGCCCTGGAAACCTTATCTCACCGACTGAAACACAATACCACCAAAAAGTGATATTATTTTACACTGGTTTGCACTAACACACGAGGTAACTTCCCCAGATGGGTGTTTTAAATCGAAAGTAAAATCTTTACCCATCGTGAAACAGAAATCAAAATTGCGTTAGAGTAACAATTATAAATAAATTAATATTTCCAACACTCACACCAATTAGCCTAGCCATTAGGCTTGTGTTATGGGATACTAGGGTAACGGATAGAATACATATACTTTACATATATAATTATATTTATATAGAAATACTTATTAAACATCCATGACTGGAGTACAAATGCTAGTGTTCATCATAGAAACATCTGCACCGGGATTCGAACCCGGGACCTCTCGAGTCGGCGACACCATGAAACCCAGCGTACAAACCACTCGGTCACGGAGGTCGTCAAATATATTAAATCAAATTATAATTTAAACTTTACTTTGAAAATAAATTTAATAATGTTTATTTTTATATGAAGTTGTTAGATCTTAATAATAAACAAAAAAACTTTGTCATTCGATGTTTTCGACTAAATTTAAGATAAGTACCGTACTTACCTTGTATATGCAAGGACGTATATTTTGTCTCTGCAAAACAAACCATTAAAATAGTCAGTTTAAATAATATATAAGCTGGCTATGCTTAGTGACTTTTCTCAAATCTTATGATACAGGGAGTAAGGCACTGACCTCGCAAAAGTTATGAGACTGCCATAAATCAATTTGCTCGTTGCAACCCGCTGTATATGGAACCAGTCCCTGAGGTAAATTACAATGAATTTGCGGAAGTGTTAGCAAATAATTATTATATAGTTAGGAGAACATTTTGTAAATAATAGATTAGGGATGGCGAAAAGTTCAGAACGGAGATCTGTCTAGAGAGAAATTATGTATTTCGTCATCCTATTATATGTTTTTTTAGACGTAGAAATAGGGGAAATATTAAAAATTATTGTGTGTTAAACATCCTTGTATTATAACTTGTTTTTCTAAATACAATGTACTCGTAAACGAAAAGATTTTTAAAACGGTATTGAATTAAAAGCGTTTGTCTTAAAACTGAAGCTGAAGTAAGCCAAAAGAACAAAACAAAATAGGTTCAGTGAAAAACTACATTGTTCACCACGTATTTAGTTTGCATTCTGTACAAAAGAAATGACTGACGCCTTTGTACGTACTGTTTCATTTAGTTTCTATAGTTGTAAAGAATGGAGCAACGAAAACAGACAATTTTTACACCCATCGCAAACGTGGTCGGTAATATTGACTAAAATTGACAAACTAGTTTATTTAGAAAAATTATTTGTCGTGACAAAAAAATTTTGATTTCCAATTTGATTGATGATTAATAATATTCTTTCCATGGAAGCTATATTTTAAGAAAAAGTATGCCTTTCTTTTCATTCAAAATTATAGTTCTTTATATATAAAAATTTCTTGATTAACGATTAAATAAAAAACTCCCATTCCAAAAGAAATCGATATTGAGTAATATAATTTTTCCTGTAAAAAATGTAGAAATTTCTTTAACATCGTGAAAGAAATTTGTAAGAAAAGTACAAAAGATTAGCATTGGCGCAGGACGTTCATCTTGTTCAGAAGTCATCGCGATTCCGTCGGATGCAAATTGCTAGTCTTTGACTCGTGACAGCCTAGGGCGCAACATGAGGCTTTGTGTGAACGGGGTCAGAGCCTCGAGAACAGGGTCAGTCGGTCGAGTGCCAAGTCTCAATCACAATAACACTGCTCGTATACATAGATAATGTAATTTAGTCTTAACGGACGTTTAAAATGCCTAAATCGTGGAAACGAATCGAAGTTAAGAGCCGCTGTGGTTAGTATAGACCACTTGTTACCACTGCAAAAACGCCGCCAAATTGCAGATTTAGTATTTTTATTAAAAATAGCTTCTGGTGCTATCAACTGCCCAGCACTACTGTCTAGGATTTCCTTTAGGACTACAACAAAAGCACTTAGAATTAATCTCATTTTATGCGTTCCACAGGCAACCTCAAACTTTAGACAGAATTCGTATCTATTGCGTGCGTTAATAGTTTTAATGTTATATCTGAGAAAACTGGCATTGATTTGTTTTACACTAGCGTTCCATCACTGAGGCGGGTATTGAGCAGTGCATTTTTTGACGAATAGGCCATTGTACAATGCTCTTTTTTGTAATTATTATGTTAAAAGAGTGCTCAATTATGTTGTAATGTGTTTATTGCAACATTATTAAGCACTTTGGTATTATTTTAAGTTTTTCTTCTTTTTATTAATAGCTGTTGGTCTTCCAAAAAATAAATAAATAGTGGTTAGAGCGTTCCGTCTGTACACGTTACAGAAGACCACAGTATAATAAAAATACCTTTTGGTGGTGTTACGTTTTCGTCGGTCAGTAAGGGTTCCATAGGACAGGAGCTTGAGGCAGGGTAGGTAACGGCGCGAGTGATATTTTATGCATCGCAAGCGTCTATCTATAGGGTATGGTGACTGCTTACCATCAAACGGGCCATTTTTTTTGAGTGTGTATGCTGTTGGTCGCAGGTGACCTTTACAGCGTCACAGGGTTTGTGGACGGCGAGATCCTAAGGGGACCTCAAGCCGAAAATTGGCGAATGCCTCTAGAGGTATTCCAGGCGGATGGCATCTCCCCACGGCGGGAGTCTCTTCTCCATAAGGAGCCTCTAGACCACTCGAACCTGGGTCTGCTCAGCTAGAGGGCGTCTCTGGGACTCAGACCTCGGCTCTAGTTAGCTGTTAGTCATGGGGGGGCGGGACATATGCTTGTTTGCCACCTAAAAAAGCTCCATGCTTAAGAATCGGGGTAAGCAAAGCATGAGTGATACTTTCATATCGTCTATAGACTTTGATGGCTTTCTTACCATTAGGTGGGCCCTAAGCTATTTAGCCATCCACCATTACAACACAAAAAAACACTACAAATATAAAAGACAATAGATAATATATTTTGTTTTAAACTTTCATGGTCTCTAACATTATAGCTATTAACGGGATTGTTACCATGTACCTTGTTTTTTAGAAGTCTCCGATATCACGGAGTAACAGTTACTCCGTGATCATGGCGCTTGCAACAGTGCCGAAATATCGGAGACTCATAAAAAACAAAGTTCGTGGTAACAATCCCGTTAATAGCTATAATGGCAATAGATAAATTATAAAACTTTGATGTGACTGAAGTCATCTGTCATCATAATAAACACATTGTGGCCCAAGAGGTCGATTTTTATGAGGTAGGCCTGTTATTTCGTTTTTCTGTCCAATTTTCATTAACAAAACTAAGTATAAAATTATATAGCTATGTTATGTAAATATTCTGACCTTCATGAGGTGGAGGTGTGATGAGACAGCGTCCACGCGCGTCGCATTCTCTCCTTCCCCCACCGGGAATGAACCCAGGTACTGCAACAACAGAGAAAAAAATAATTTTATTACACATTTCAATGATTGGCGTAAAATATGACTAACGAAATACGAATGCATGCTATGATCCTTGTGGTTGAAATAAATGAATTATTATTACTATTAAAACGGAATTAAGACGTTTGGTCGGAACGTCCTAATCCGATTGAAGTCGCATAAGATCAGAAAGGGCATTGGTACTGAAGATTGTTTTAATAAATTTAATTCGCTTTCAAAGTTTTGTTTCTTTAGCTCTTCTTTTAAATACAGGCCACTCTTTCGATACAACACAACCAATTAATTGATTTAAGCTCATAAAATACCTATTACATGGACCGCATTGTTTATCTCAACTACATTAACTTTGTCAAATAATTACGAGTACAGACCCCAGCATAATTTGTAGTTTCGAGTGAAAAAATTCGCTCCTGAATTATACAAACCCACATTCCAATTGAACGGCAACGAGTGCCGAGACAAATTGCTATATGTTCCCTCTGAGTCAGACCGAATATCGCTTAACGTCAAAGATGCCCTGGGGAAATGAAGGTCGCGGTTCGACTCCCAGGCCAGAGGGAGCCGTAACGGATCCGAAATAAACGCGTTCCGGGAAACAGGAAAGAGTGGAGTTTTTGTGTGACTGTCATTTACCTGATGCGTGAAATAATCAGAAAAATGTAGGTTACGTTTCAATGAAAAGTCTAAGACAAAAATTGGGTTCGTGACTAGATTTTTGTGCAAGATTAAATGTGTTGTGATATTTTATTATTATTAGAACAAACGTTACAGTCTATTTCAAAATAAAAGCTTGCATTTTCGTTAATTAAAGCATAGTACAAAACTATTATTAACACATATATAAAAATCCGATCGGACCGAATAACCTGCTGCGTCCAGCGATACCTGTGACGCTACTGCATGTGTCCCGCTTGCATTACACAACGAAGGCGGAGAAGATCGCAGAATACTTGCGTATGAAGACCAATTTCTCCCTGAGGGTTGCGCGGTTGGAGTCGCGCCACCACGTGAATTTTAATTCATTTGTGGTGAGAGTGCCGACTGCACATCTGGCGACCTTTTTAAAAGAGGAGCTTTGGCCGAAAGGTGTGGTATTCCGACGTTTCAAAGGCAGAACCTGACACCACTTCGCGCCACACGTCGCCGACTAAACGTGTTATTTAGAATTTGTAATTATTTTATACTTCATATCTATGTTAGACTATAAGGTATATATTTCTATGGGCCTACGATACTTGAATACAAATAAATAAATAATAAAAAAAAATCATTGTCTGTGTGTCGACTGTCGAAAGCATGGTATATGTGTAATCTTTGAAAAGAAAGGTAATGATTAAGAGAGGGTAAGGTACAGCGGATTTGCCGCTCGAATTGGAGCACCCATCTGGAGATGCGACCTTAGAGAAGACCACAGTCATATAATACTACCTCTTTGGTGGTGTTGTATTTCTGCTGGTGAGCAGGGTTCCAGGGCTCCGTGGGGTAGTGGGGTAGGGGAGAGGGTTCACTGGATCACTTACACTTAAAATCAGGGCGGGGTAACTTGCTGCGCCTCGTATAAAAAAAACGAGTATGCTTATGACCACACGACTGAAGTGAAACTTCTTTAGCTCCATCTGTATATATATGTTTGTGTGTACAATATAAGCATGTATGTACATATACATATTTCATTTACTAGTCATAAGAGAAAGAGAGAAATAAAATGTGCTCGCGCACTGCTTTCTCTTGCTTATATCCCCCACTCAACTCCCGTTCGCCTCGCCAGATCACACTTTTCGTAACGCGTTTGCCAGCTTACTCCCCAAGTAAAGCGTGCGTAAAGAAGTTTCACTTCAATAAAATGAAGTAATAGGGTAAAACTTGGTCTATAGACGACCCCTAGTAAAATAAAAAAGAGAATACTATGTCTGTACATGAAAATTCGTATAAAAAAAAAATATGTTCGCGCAATTTTGCTGTCACCGCGACACTCGCTCTTATTACGACATAATCAAAATTAAAAATCATTTATTCAGTCTAGGCTGTTACAAAGTACTTCTGAAGGTCAAGAAACTACGCCATCGGTTCGCAAAACTACGGCGGGAGACCTTGTACTGAGAAGAACCGGCAAGAAACTCAGCAAGGGCTGTTTTTTCTCCCTTTATTGTTATATACAGAGTCGTCAAGTTGAAAAATGACTTCAGAGATACTTCCTTGAATTGATGTTGTGTTCACCAAGTTACTGTTGACTGTACATATTTTTTTCCAGTATAAGTATTGGTAAAGTAGGTGTGAACGAAAGTGTCGGTATCGCGATGACATAGGAAGGCGTCACGACCGCAGACGCACGTACACCGCAACTATCATGTTACATACAGCCTTGCTATCCACGTACGAATTTCTTTACGACACACAGAGCGGACCCATTTACGAACTGTTCCAATCATAAAGAAAAATTTATTGGAAAAAAATCTACACGGCAGCAGACGGGACATTTATTTTGTAGTATCTTTTATTTTGTAGTGTCTCTAGATTTAAACATCTCGCAGTTAAATGCTTAAAAATCAATAATTATAATGTTGCAATAATTCCAACGGTTTTTTTTAATTAAATATAATAAATTATGAATTATCCATAGATAATTTGAGGAAATAATAATTATCTTTGTAAGAAAATGTCTTTTGCCATTCATTAATTATTCCTATTCAATTCATGTTGTGGAGTCTTTTCCGCCCGTTTCTCTTACATAGACATCTATTACCCGGTAATAAATATTTTGAACTCCACCGGAATTTGTACCTAACAACTTTGGCATATAAAGTAGGATTCCTACCCTAGACCGAAAAAGAGTAAGCTGAGTTGAATTTTCATAGTGAAAAGCCAAAACTATATTTTTTCATTTCCCCAAAAAGCTATTTTCTGGCATAAACCGTTCTTGCCGCTGTTCTTCTCATATAAGGATGTTCATCGGATAAAGAAGGCTGAATATAAGTGGAAAAACTCCATCAAAACTGTAAGCCCAACAAAAACTTGAGCATGTGAAATTGCCAATTTTTATCTTTTTTCTTCGCTAATCTCCTTTTAAAGCCATGATAGCTGTAAATTTAGACGTGGACTCTCAGACATACTCAGTAACTACCATTATTGCTAAAATAGATAAGTCAACTCAAATTTTAAAATTAATTGACTTCTCTGCGTGCAGCTGTATAATCATTTAGCAATTTGAGCATTAAAAGCTCTGTTTCTAGAGAGTTGTCAATTTCATCCATAGTTCAATTATTCAATAGTTAATGTCACCTCAAATACATAGTAAATGAAAATTGAAAATAAAATTTTTTTGGTAATGACAAAAATAGATATTTTCAACCGACGAAAAAACCGGACTCAATTCGACGCGTTTATTTTTTTATGTATTTTCATGCATAACTTTTCACAGAGTAGTCCGATTTGATGAAGGATAAATTATACACTCCGAAATTATTCTTATACCTATATAATTTGGAAAGAAAATTCTGGCCTTAAGGGTAGGAAAACAAGTGATGATTGATTATTCGCTCACTGATTGAAATTTATGACCACGCATAACTTTTTACAGAGTTGTCAGATTTTGAAGTTTTTGTTTTAGGTTGGTCCCAGATAAATTGAGAAACAAAAATCTTACTCTAAGGGTGGGAAAATGGGGGTGATTGTTCACTCACAGATTTTTATGCCAAGTTGTATATTACAAAAATTATAGCCACAACAAACTATATATTTTTACCAAATAATTAAATACCGAAAAGCAAATAATAGTTAACGTTTTATCTTTAATTAAATTAATTTTTGGAGTCGGTGCTATACATGACTGATAGATGTAAGGTCCCATTTACTACTTGTGTATATTAATTTGACTAAAGATAAAAAAGGTTTATTATTTTTTGCTTTTCGGCAGTTTAATTTTTTTGTTATTTCTCCAGCATTTAAACTACAATACTTATTTAAATTCAACTATAGATGAAACAACACGGTCTAAGTCGTGCCCAAGTGTGAAGCTCTTGTCGCCTTAATAAGACTCACGGATTCATTTTAATTAAGACTGAAGTCGGCGGTCTTCGGAAGTACCTGTATGACTTAACAGCGGCATGCCGTCGGGCTGTGGCAAGGAACCGCACTTAGTAAATGTAAGTATTGTTTATGTACTCAGGGCCGTAGCCAGAGTTGTATTATAAGGCAGCTATAATTACAGTTAGGGCATAAGCAGCAACTGCAACCGCTTTTTAAGCTACCCAAAAATGGACGGGTTTTCAGTTCAGTTGATCGGTGACAATTAAGCGAAAGCCCAATATATGGACATACCATTTGATGGAATGACAAACAATCGATAGATCAATAGCTCGTTATGCCAATAGATCAAAAACTAAGTGTATCGATTTTTTAAAAGATCAGATTGCAAATAATCGAATGCTGATCATCTAAGATGATCGATGTGTCAATTATCGCAGGCAGGTTTGATTTTTTAAAGAAATAATGTGAATCCCAGAATTTTAGCCGTAAAATTATATTTATACGTCAAATTGTCAATACTTGTATTCTGTTAATTGCAATGAACCTGTTGAAAATTCTCACAGCGATCTATTGAAAATCGTTTTATCGAAATTTCGATCTAATGTCACAGTGATATATTCAAGATCGATATATTGAAATTTCGATCAAACGGCAAATCGATATAATGGGTTTTCAGTCAATTGTCACTGATCGAGTGGCATTCGATGTACAGGCAATCGATATGGCGTTTAAAACCCAAACGGGGCAGCAGTCTGTGAATAGTGGCCCATACGGCGATGCTATTTTAAGGTCTTTTAAGGTAGGATATTGCCCCATAATGCCTTCCCCTAGCCTACGACTCTGCATGTACTCTTTTGTAAAACTATATAAACTCAGCATAAGGGATCGCATGAATATTTTGCTTTGCACGGGTTAAATTTGTTTAACGCTACAAAATATAGTCCATGTCACTCAGG